ACCCAGAACTTAGCACAGTGCTGTTCCTCTCCTCCTGACATATATGTGTGTGTATGTACGTATACACACATAAGTGTATGGAGAGATGTATGGTATAAGGACTTGGGCCTTAGCACAGTGCTGATGACTCATGTGGAAGATATGGTAATATATATATATATATATATAAAACACCAATTTGTTAAAATTATTAAAAACTAACAAATATATGTACATATTAATTTCTTGATTTTCATATTGCCCTGACTGGTACAATAATGAAGAAACACAGTTCTTGAGTACAGATCTGTCCCTGCTCAGCACAAGGAAATGAAACTCTCACATGCTACATGCAATTTCTCTGTAACAGGTTTATACATTGGTTTTTAAAAATCCATCCAAATTTGCTACATATCATTACTGAGAGAGAAGCACAAAATGATATTTGATTGAAATTTATACTTCATTCTTTCAGTCAATAAACATTTATTCCCAAAAAGGCAAGGATGATTCTCTTCAACTATTCAGAAGATATTTCCTGTGTGGAATCATCTGGTTTCATTCAATTCATATGTAGTTCACACTTTTACCTGATTTCAAAAGAAGTTTCTAAGAATTATTCCCACCTCTATTTTTGATTCTGTAACTCGACCAAAGAGGCCTCTTACCCGATAAAGGTTATCAGGGCAAAGAGCATCTGATTAGTTTTATTAACTGAGGCATATGTTGAAGCAATGAATGGAGATATAGATATGTACACACATATGTGTGTATGCGTGTGTATCTACGTACACTTTGTACCTTTCCATTCAGTTGCACACAAAGATACAGTCCACTGTAAATCTCTGCAAAAGTCTGTTCCCTCTGCATGTTTTTACTGCATACGCCCTTGATGTCTGCCCACAGAACAACCACTCCTTTCTGTTTGTCAAGATGTAGTCAATTTCATTTTTCTTTTATCATTCTGGGATGACTACGTTCTGTGCTTCCTTGAAATAAGTGTTTATGATACATAGGTGCGAGCCTTCTGAACACTTTATAAACCTCTGGTTTCTTATATTTCTTTTTGTTGTCCTCTGTGGCAACTTTCTCATTGCAGTTACCACATATCAAATACATGCTCACTTATTTTGGAGGATCTCATGAAGCTCTTCATATAATCTCTGTTTCTCCATTCTGTGCAATGAGGGAAGGCACATAATTTGCCTCCACAAAAGTCCTACTCCAATGTCTTGATGTAGTATAGAAATGAATCTAAGTAGAGTCTCACAGGCCATCAGAAAGCTTGAAAGGCTTTGAGGAAGAACCCAGAAACAGACTTTTGTGTCTGTTTACTAGGGATAAACTTAGTCATATTTCAATGGGGCTGGAAAAGAAAGATGAGACAGTTCTTAGATTGCCTACAAATATTATTTAACTATTGATTCTTTCATTCTATTATCTATGTCTAATAGCCAACAAACTGACATACTACTGGAGAAACTGAAGCTGAAACTACAAGTCATAAAGAAGTTACAACTATTAAATAGTACAGCCTGTAGGCTTCTCCTTAGAAAGGCCAATTGAGGAGCTGACAGAGTTGATTTGATCATGCAGCCCACAAGCAACAACAACAAACAGCTATCCATGGAGATACGTGGGCGTGTGCCTTGCAGTGTGCTAGAGTATAAGCAGACAGACCCCCATGAAGAAACCGCTGCTTAACTCCCTAAAAGTTTCTTAATCATAACATCAGTTAAATTAAGGGATGGAAAGCCCATTCACATTTGGCCTAGTGAGATGGGGGGAACAGTCAGGCTTCCTACGGATTCAAGGTCAGGCTTGGTGACAGTGGGAGAGTGTGAACATAAAGGAAGAACTCTGTTGGGTTTGGGGTTCAGCAGCTGTTCCTGTCTGTCTTGGTATTTTTTCAGGTACATAAGATTTTCCATTTCCTACCCCTTCTTTCTGAGCCAAGCAATAAATATAGCAGTTGCTCGCAGAGGCAAATCCGGACGGCATGCTTACAGAGGTATTGCTTTTTTAAAAGTTGATTTGGCATTGATGTTTTTGTTTAGCCTATGAATTGGCTGCTTGCACATTTCTCTGAGGTTAAAGTGAACTCAATTTTTTCAGATTACACAGCACACAAGAAGTTCCTAATTTACAAAGGAGTTTTTCATCTGCAACTCAATGATTTGGAACTCAGAATACATTTTTCTACAGAAGCTATTTTATAAATGTTGGGCAGGGTACTAAGCTGGTACATAAGTGTGATATACATCTGAATAATAGTATGACTATTTTTGTACAACTACAGTGGTAATAGCACTAGTACTATAATAATAAAATATTTTGGCTATTTTGGTAGTTTTTGTAGTATCAGTAATGCATTTAGCATTAAAAATACCAATTTGGCTATCATTTCTCTGGGAAAAACCTCATATCACCACAAGAAGTATGCATTTCTGAACTCTGCAAAACTCATAATGCACAGAAAAGAGATAATAAGTCCATTAAAAAACAACTCAGCAACTGTGAAAACTGGCTTTCTTCAAAAGACATTCTCACAGATAAGAGTTAGGTAAAGCAACTATTTACATTAGCATTGGCAGGGGTTCCCTAGATGTATCTGGACAGCTAGCACCAAATGACTCATGAAAAAGCCCAGAAAGGATGCTTTTTTAGAAAGTGAAAACAAGGGGGCAGCTAGGTGGCGCAGTGGATAGAGCATCAGGCCTGGAGTCAGGAGGATCTGAGTTCAAATGCGGCCTTAGACCAGAGACTTGAAACTTATTAGCTGTGTGACCCTGGGCAAGTCATTTAACACCAATTGCCTCACCAAAAATTAAAAAAAAGTAAGCAACAAGAAAGTGAAAACAAACACCTAAGTTAAAAAGTGTTCCTGTGGACAGATTACCAGCTAACAGCAAGAACAACAGAGAGCTGAGGAAAAAAGTATTCTCATGACCTCCACAGATGGGCCTGTTTGTGTCTCTTCCAGAGCCAATTAGTAACAACTTGTACATATATAGTGTCTGTGGATGCCCCTGTCAAAGACAGTGAAAGGCTGGAAGGGACTTCCAGCTAAGATAGAGGAATAAATGGGAGTAGAAAAATCCTACTATCATATTACTCTAACAAAGATTTTAAAGTGTATTCAACTGAGTAATGATCAGGAAATGTAAGAAGAAACTACAATAAGTGCTTTTCCCAGCCCAGGTCCACACAAAGAGACAGCCAGAATTCTGCCACTCAGGAAGAGTTTCCGGCCAGACAAGTCTAACCATGGAGCTCTACACACAGAATCTTCCAGCACCCCAAGGAAGGGTGATTCAGGGACATCTGAAGTTTGCAACTGTGTTGGAGAGGGGAGAAGGGGATGAGAAGAGAGAAGGAGGAAGACCAGAGACTGGACCAGGTGAGCCAGAGACACCAGGAGCCTTGCTGACCTAGCCACCCCTGATGTCCTTGAAAACACAGTGCTCAGTACCCAATGAAAGCAGTAGAAAGATAATAAAGACTAGGACCAAACAAGGCTCCACCATTCCTTCCAGAAGTGCGCAGAGCCTGGCCTGGACACAAAGTAACAACTGAGGAAGCATGGCTGGAAATATGAATATAAGCAAAGGAAGAGATCAATATAAAGAATTATGGCTCTAGGGATGCCTAAAACACAAACCCAAAAGAAGGCAATAACTCTGGAGATAACAACTACGAGCAAAGCCTCCAACAAAAACATAGACTAATCACAAGGTCTACTAGAATTCCTAGAACAAATGGAGCAAGAATTTTTTTAAAAAGGATATTATAAATGAAATTTGAGCTCCAGAGAAAAAAAGGGGAAAGAGGATAAATATCATAGAGTTCAGGAGTTGTAAGCTCTACTCACATTAACAGACTTCAGCTCAAAATTAGAACGAGCCAAACAGAAATCAGTGACTGCATGAGAACAAAAAATACCAGAACAAAATGACAGGATTGGAAGAATGCTTTTCTACTTACGGCTTATGAGGCAGAAAAAAGTGTTTCTTGAAAGGAAAAAATATTTTAGGAGGAAAACAAGAAAAATAATCCAGGCAGGCAGAGAGAGGAATCCATCTCTGGTCAGGAGCGTGGATGGTGAAAAGATACGACAAAGGGAAGAGAAGGACTTCTGAACCAGTGCAGCTACATTATAGATTTAAGACTCTTCTCACAGACACAAGAAAATAGACCCTTTGTAAAGATGTCCACTTCCAATTTCCTACAAAATGAGGATGTGTAACCATAGATATCAGAAGAAAGAGTATCCATTATTTGTTATGGGAGGACAAGATTAATTCTGGCAGTTAAAAAGATGAACTTTAATAGTATTTATTTAAAAAATCCAATGTACAATGGGGAGACAGATTTAGCTAGATAACTGTTTTTGATAAAAAGATTGAGAATTTCAATGAACTTCAGGTTTAATATGAGTCAATCATGTGATATGGAAGCCAAACTTAAAAAAAGAAACAGCAAGCATGACCTTAATCTACATTAATATAAGCATAATATCCACAAAAAGGACTCTTTCCTGACTAGGCCATGTCTGTGTTTTAAGAAATGGCATTTTAGGAAGAACACTGACAAGCTAAAAGTACATACAATGGAGAGGGATGACACCACCATGATAAAGGAACTCAAAAGCATGCCATATGAGGACAGACCAAAGAAACAAGAGATGTTTAGTTTGAGGAAGAGAAGATTTGGTGGAGTAGGCTAACTGCCTTCAGAATATCTGAAGACATACATAATGTAGTGAGTAGGTAAGGGCTTAGACTTCTCTTTGTTCCTTGACTTACCGAACTGGGTAGAAATGGTAGAGATATAGATTTCTGCATTATTTACAGGAAAACCTAATAATTAGAGCTGTTTAAAGTGAAATAGGTTGTTTTGTGAGGTGCTTAATTCCTCATCAGTGAAGGTTTTTGAGCTCAGATTAAATAGAAGCATGGTTTTTATTAAAAATTACACTCACCCTCTACCCATCTCCCAATTCAAGCAGAATGACAACTTACAGGATTTGCTTTCGTCCCCAGCCCATCATAATACATAACTCCCAACTGGTAAACAGCTTGATGATCATTCTCCTGGATTTCTTCAAATTGATCTAATGCCTCCTCATACCATCCCTATAAAAGTCCCAGAAAACATGCATATTATTATATGTGTGTGTGTGTGTGTGTGTGTGTGTGTGTGTGTGTGTGTGTGTGTGTGTATACATACATATACGTATATATAAGCAAACACCCTACCCTAACATATGAAGAAAATTTTTGGGAGGATTCGACAACATAATAATGACATATTGCATAACATATAATATGTTATATATATTATTATATATTATATTGACAACATATAAAATAACAACAAATGACAATGACAACATAAGTCTGCATCAGTTACAATCAATACATTGCAAAGTCAGCTATGAGTGTGGGGGTTGGGGATGGCTGATAACTAGGATGACTCTGGGTAAATTTTCCATTTTCATTTTCTTCTATTCCTGCTGCCAGCCCTTGAGCCTTGAACCCACAACAATAATAATGGCTGTCCTTCCAGTTTTAGTCATTAAGGTTACTTTATCCAGACTTTCATTTCACCCTTCTCACTTAGTTTGGAAAATTTCAGAGCTGAGACCAAATTTCCTTCAAGAAATGTAATTAGCAAAAGAGCCAGAGTGCTGTCTTGACCACTTAATGCAGTTTGGACAAGATATTTCACTCTTCTGAACCTTAGTCTTCTGGTTTAGAAGATGGGACAAACGAATGAAAGAGTGCCTTATTTCACTGCACAATTGTCACAGATTTTATGACAATTTTTTTCATAAAAAAGTGAGGTGTGACCCTTATGTGAAGATTAAAAAAACCTGCGCTGGTATTACTTAAAAATCATTTATTACTAAGCTGTCTTTGGTGCAAGATCAGGATGCATGGAATACTAGGGAATATACCCATATCACGTGACTTACTCATGGCAGCTTCACCTGCCTGCCCCTCTCCTTGTACTTTGGCTGTTCACTGAGTTTAGTGACAACACCATTAGTACTGCAGTGCTCTGAACTATGCAAGTCGGCTTTTGGAAATACACTGACAATGCAAGTGTGCTGAGAATTCTAGGCTCACACTTCACAATGCTCAAGAGATAAATGCATATCCATACGCCAGTGGTGAATACATTGCTGCTCTGTTTTACCTTTTAAGCAGTATGACAACAGAATTATACCATGCAATGATGAAAAGGTTATAAACCAATTTTTGGAATGAAAAAACAGGGTGCGATGATTATGTGGCGGCAACTATTATGTGGTGAAAAACAGGATTTATTAAATGTTTACTGTAATAATAATGATCACTCACATTTACATAGAACTTTCAGGTTTGCAAAGCACTTTACGTGTTATTCTGTTAAGTCTTTACAACAGCCCTGTGAGGTAGGTGGTATTGTTATCACAATTTCACAGTTGAGGAAACTGAGGCCTTGAGAGGTTAAATGATTTATTTGCCCAGAGTCACACAGCTGAGAAGAGATTCAAACTGAGGTTTTCCTGATGCCACATCTAGCACTCTGCTCTGCCTCCTAGGTGCCTCTAATACATATACACATCTAGAACGTTTTCAGCAACCAGTCAGATGGAAAGGTCCCACGGTCTTTAGGGTATAGTGGCAAACAGGTGGTTATCTTCTTTAATGTCACTTCTACTGATAGAACTATGTTTGTTTCCATACTGAACCATTTAACAGTGTCAAGGACTTTGGAGGTGATGACCTTCTTTTCCAAGTCTTCAGTAGCTGCTGTCTGCCTTTCTCACAGAGCAATTATGTAGATTGTGACATCACAGATGTGAAAATGCTATACAAACATAAAGTGGTGGTATTATTAAGAGCTCTGGCTCTAGCTTTATACTTTGTTGGATGGGAAAGAAGAGTAAAGGATAAGGGAAAGCCATCAGGATAGAGATCTTCCCATAGCAGGCTAATCAAACAAAGGTCAGTAAAATTCTGAACTAGGTATCATTCATGTATCCTTTCTGCTCTCCCTCCTTCCTGCCCAGACATTGCTGTTATCCAAATGTTCCCTCCCAACTCCCCAACCCAACCAGGCTTTGCTCTATTTGAGTACGAAAAACCCCATGCTGGGAAATTATCTCTCTTCTTCTGTTTCTTACCAAAACCCACCAGTTATTTGCCTTACTCTTCTAGGAGTCAATTTATTAAGAGCTGACATTCACAATAAGGTATGAATGACTTATGTTAACATGCTACCCCTTTCAAGGGTAGATGCATTTCAACATGTGCAATAATTTATTCCAAAAGAATCTATCTTTAGTAGTAGAACATCAGCCGAGAATATCAAAGGAGGCATCTTTCTAGAACATCTCTAATCATACCACAGCATCAGTCACCCACAGGTTGTGCCAGCTTTAATCTAGTAAAAAGCAGCTTTCTTTAAACATAGATTCTATTTTTTCCTAAGGGTACTTAACATACTCTCTACTTCATAATATGACTATAAAAACTTCACAAAAAACAGAGATGTGTTGAAAACTAATTAAGATGCTACAATATATATTAAAGAACAACAAAAATCTACTTTCTTTTTAGGTTCAGGAAGAATATAGTTTAGGAGAGAATATAACCTCATATTTTACTTTCTGCGTAATTTTTGGTGTGTAAAACAATGTTCCTAAAGGCATTTCTTGCTTCAACTCTGCAAGTTGCCCAGGTTTAGAATCTGGATCAGGGTCACACTTTTTTTTCATTTAGAAAGTCTTTATACTAACTACTCTATGAATCAGTATAAATTTCTCCTTTTGCTGGAAATGCCGCTTGCTGGTAATCAATGCATAGCCTTTTTTCCTCTGGGGCTTCTTGTTTTAACTAGCAATTTGCCTGTCTCACTACCACCACCTGCAAACACTAATTAGGGCAGTCAACATCTGGAGATGGAGCTTGAAGTTGATGATCAGACTCTAATATAATCTCTTTGCAAATTATGCATAATTCTAACTTTCATACCATGTCTTTAGCCATAGTGGGCCTAAGAAGTCTCGGCTCTTCCTTTTTAATCTACATTTCATTCCCAAATCTAATCTCATCTCCTAATTAATGATACCTTGATTTTAGTTCACAAGGGAGACCCTGTAACTTTCTGAAAAACAGTTTATTGTTTTTGATACCATGTCTCTTTCCAACAACTGCCCTCTTAGAATCTTCCTTTGTAACAAAGAAAACCAATTAAGCAAAACAAACCATTGAAACAACCAACACTGCGTAATACGCCTCATTAGGCACCATAGCCCCTTACTGCTCTAGCAAGAGGAAGAAAGCTCTCTCTCTTACTTTTCCTGGCTCCTTCATTTTTATCCATTCCAGGGAGATTCTCCATGGCCAAACCTACCTCCCCCCTCAAAAAACACCACAGTTGTAGCTTCACACACAGATTCAGCAGATCCCATTCAGTGTGTCAACATTTCTCTGAAGCTTAGAGCTGAGGGTAAAGATTGTATATTCATTTACACATAAAAATATAATCTCCCTGACCCCTGGAAAAGCATTTACTTTCATAGTTATTCACATTAATACTTTAATTTTCTCTGTGTCTTGGGGAGACTGAATTTCTAAAATGATTTCCTCTTCTCTTGTAGGTACAACTTGTCATACTCTACATAGCATAGGTACTTACTCCCAAGGGAGGGTTTATTTGGGGAGGGTTTAGTGAATGGGACTTGGGGAAGAGGAGTTAGGAATAGCTAAATAACTGTACAAAAAGGTGTTTAACTTTTACACATTTAGTTATTATTAGAATTACAGAGTATTAACCAGATCAATAAGGTAATCAGGTTAGTGATGTAAGGGAACTTGGAGGTCATAGCCAGGGGTGGGGAAGAAGAGGATTTGTCCTGTGAAGTTTGGATTTAGTCAAAGGGACACAGTTGAGGCTGCAGGTTCCCCACCTCTGTGACATAGACTATCCATGGTGTTACAAATGAAGAAACTGAAAACTAGAAATATTAAGTGAATTGCCTAGGGGCACACAAGTACTAAGTGGCACTGCCAATATATGAACCCAGGGTGCTGGATTATCTCTATGGCGCTACTACAGCTTAAGAGGAAGTGGCGGGTGATGGTAACTGCTTGGCAACACGTTTCTTTCTGTCTCTTCTTCAGGGTGACTGATTGCTTCAGCCTGGCCAGCTTCTTCTGCCCCTTCAGTGGCTATTGTTTGGCAGACAGTGCTGATGGTGGTACGGATGGGGGGGCCCCTTCTTCACAAGGGCTACTTCCCCTAATGACAGCTATAGGAGTTGGGCTGGAAGCAGGGCTAGTAGTTTGGAAGGTACTGCTCTTCCTGGGGCTATTGGGCTCAGGGTCCTGGGCTGTCTTCACTGCAGTTTGAGAGGAACTGGTGATCAAAGCTAAAGATCAATATTCTGTTGATGCTAATATTATAATATACTCAAGCTCGGACACCAAGAATGTTTCTAGCAGGGTGATCAATGTCATAAATTAGGGCTGTGTTATTCAGCCATTAACTTTAAAATATACATATGTCTCTATATGTATATAGAAATATAATGTGTGTATACTATTGATAGATATTTATAGTATATGCAAATATAAAGTGTGTATATACATATTATATATCTGTATGCTTTATATAATATATATGCATATATCACAAAAACATTTATATACACACAAACAAATACAAAGATATACATACATATCAGAATCCACCTTTTATATGTGATGGGTATATCCTTGTCCTAAAGAGACCTTTAGTTTACTAAAGTGAAGAATTAGGTTAATTCACAAGTTACAGATAAATAACTGACCTGCATTTGTGGAGGGAATTTCCACATTAGAAGTTTCCCACACCAACGAAATCATAGATCTAGGGGAAACCCCCAAAAGAGTGATCTTAAATATTATCCAAAGAGTGAGATTTTAACTTATATTGGGAATCCTGTCAAAAATAATTTGGTAGTAGAAACAGTCTTGCTGGTCACAACCATTAAGAAGGGAAAGGTGGAATTTTTTAAAAAGTCATTTCTAGCATAAATTTAAATTATTCCCTAATGGATTCATGCAGGAAAACTGGGTATGAGAATCACACAAAAGAACTACTTCCAACTGATGTTTTTTTCCTGGCAATCTTCTGAGTTTAATATTTTTAAAAATAAAAGTTTTTAAAGCTACCTCTTCAAAGTATAGTTGACCTCTCAGGAAACGCGCCAGGGGATCTCCTTTTCTCATTCTTTCCTTCAGTAATTGTAATGCCTTTTCCACTAACTTCGAATGATTGTAATAATCTGATGAAAAAAGTTTTCAATGAATACTACCTTGTAATCTTACAGTATGACCCTATAAGTTCACAGGACCTATCTTTTGAAATAATATAATAACAGAGATACACTCCTCCCTCCTAACCCATTTTTTCCCGACTCTTTCCTGCTCTAGGCCACATTCTAAAGCTGGCTTTTACGTATGTGAGAATATAGCAGTGCAACATCTTAGTACATAATCAGCAGAACAAAAGGAGGAAACTGTCTCCTAGTCATCCTCTAGCATCCAGTATGGAAGGCTTTTTCTCTAAGTAGGATTAAACTCTTTCTCAGTTACCAATTCAAGAAGGCTAGTCTAGCTGCTATTTCTCAATCACAGTTTGCTCATCTTTGACTTGACACCTTTGCTTTTACTGTTACATTGGCCTGGCATACTCCTCTTCCTCCTCCTGTCATTTAACCTAGCCAAACTCTACTAATCCTACAAAGTTCAGCTTAAATCTCATCTTCTTGTTATGTACTACCTTAACCCACAGAGATCTCTCTCTCTTTTGAACACTTATATCATTAATTGTCTTATTTGTCATTGATTAGCTTACACTTACACACACACATATAATTACTCTCTTAACTAGATTTTAAACAGGATGAGGATTCAAGCTATCTTATGCAGGGCTGTATCCCCCACATCACCTAAAGCAGTGTCTTACAACATGTTCTAGGCTCTCAATACATATCTGTTGAGCAATCTTAGAGGATATAAGTAGGGTGAAACCAGCTTCCTTTATCAGAGGCAACTAGTGGATCATTGCTTTCCCAGTAAAACTGAGTACCGAGTGTGAAGAGGATTGCATTACTTTGTGGTAATATTTAACTTTGCATAGTTGAAGTTCTGACTCTTAGACTGATGGAAAGACTCCAACATTAAAAATGAGGGGATCCTGCCCATCAAACTAGCTTTGTAGCCATGGAACAAATCACCATCTCTCCTTGAAACTCAGCTTCTTTATCTGTAAAATGAAGGTACGGAACTGAATAAGTTCTAAGATCCTTTTCTGCTTTAATAGTCTCATTCTATGGTTCTACACATTTGCATCTTTTGAACATAGCAGGTAAATTAGTACTTGAATATAAATCAAAATACAGAATATTCTGATTCTGAACAAGAATTCTCTCTAGAAAGTCTCAACAAGGGATCATCTAGCTTTCCCTTAAAGGTCTCTAGTGAGATGTTACACACACTCTGCCTCCTGAGGCATCTTATTCCATTTTTGGATAGCTCTGTTAGAAAGTTTTCCTTACTCCAAAAGAAAATCTTCCTCTATGAAACCTCTACCCATTGTTATTTCACTCACTCTGCCTCCTGGGAAGCAGAGCAATCTAACCTCACTTTCATACAGCAGCTAAATACCTGAAGATAGCTATTAGGTTTACTTCTTTCCACTTCCCTCCAACTCTGATCCGATCATCTGCAGGCTAAAACATCCTCGGTCCTTTCAACCAAGACTGTGGCTTGATCTTAAGGCCCTTTGTCATCTTGCCTGACCTTAGCTGGGTGCTCTACAGCTTATGTATAGTCTTAAAATGTGTACCCAGGACTGAACACAACACTTTAGCAGTGGCAGAATGAAGGCATGACCATCATCTTCTTCATGCTGGACTCTATTCCTTGCCATGCAACAGTCCTAGAGGCCATGCCTCACAGCAGCCTTCCTTATACTGAGCTCAGAGGCCACTGATGCTCCTAGCACTTTTTCATGGGAACTGCTATAACACCAGGATTACCCCATCTTTTACTTGGGAAGTTATTTTTTGAACCCACACATAATAGAACTTGGCTTTCATCACTATTACATTCTACTTTATTAGATTTGGCCCAATAGTTTAACTCATCAAGATCATTTAAAATTTTATTTTCTTGTTTTAATTAACAAGCATTTATTTTCTTTCCCTTCCACCTTACCCTACTTGGGGGAAAAGAAAACCAAAACTCTCGTAACAAGTAAACATAATCAAGCAAAACAAATTCCCACACTGGCCACGTTCAAAAATGCATATACAAAGATTTTTTTGGATCAAGAGTCTGAAGTACATCATCTGCAGATGTGATGAGCTTCAAGCTATTTATGAGCTTTATCCAACAAAAATGTTAAAGATCGAAGGGTGAAAGGGCAAGATCACTAGAGACTTCTTCCAAAGTGACACTGATGTATTAATGACTACTCTTTGGGTCTGGTCATTCAACCAGGTTTAAAATGTGATGAAGATCACCTAATTCATGCTTTTTATTTTTTATCCACAGAGACAGTATGAGCCTTTATAAATTATTAATAACACTGCAATGTGGCTAATTGAGGTTAGCCATGCAATCTCTCGCTAAAGAATAGTGTTTTATTCTGTTTCTCATCTTGTGTTGGATTAAACTGTCTTGTGTAGAACTAAAACATAAATATCGTGCTCCAAAATCTCCTAATGAGCTAACCTTTCTATATGATATGTAAAATAAAAAAAAAGGTCTCCAGGAAACACAAACAAATAAACTTACAGCTTTAAATATTAATCCCAAATAAATTCAATGTAAGGAAACTTTGACTTTTCTTGCCCCATAGAGTGGCATCCTGACCTTCAGAGATGATTTAATAACAGAACTAGAAACTCTACTAAACATAAATTGAATGGAGGTCTCAAAGGATTATAAATTCTAAATTTCTGTCTTGTGGGTAAGCTGGGAAAGATCACTATAAGATAACTATAAAATAAAAAACTCCTCATATTTATGTACTGTTTTAAGATTTACATGTCAAGCACTTTCTTTATAACAACCCTATGAGGTATTGTATATTAATAATTATTAATAGGGGAGCTGACGCTCAGTAATTTAGCCTTTAGACACAGCACTGATACCTTGAAAAGATGAAGAAACTTCATATATCTCTTGATGGTATCATTAAATTATGAAACTTTAGAAAACCACTTCTAAAGGAGGACTAGTTAACAGAACTTGTACCTTGCTTATCCTTTTTCCATTTGGTTAATTTCTGAGTATTGGCAGCACAGTGGAATGTAGCATTTTGGGGACCCACAGGCAGTTTTTCACTGATTAATTTCATTCTGTTTCTTCAATGCGTAGTCTGTAAATAACAAACACAGACAAAATGGGTATCAGATGTCTTCTAGATGGATGAAAAAATAACCCCACTGCCCACTATCATCTGTCACAAAGATCCCCCTAACCTCCTCCCACACCAATCTTACCATTTAGGTCCATGGGACTACAGCTATCAACAAAAAGGTGAACATAAATAGGGAGACAACTCATAAAATCAATACCATCTGTATTATATCTCCAAGGAATCAAGTGTGATCTAGTTGTTAGTTCAGAAATTCACATACTGATATGATTTATGTCACCCACAGAATACTTGCTGAATCTGCTGGGTCCTGTTGACACTACCCACAGCCAGAATTCTTCTGCAACAGAACCTTCCAGTTGCCTAGTGAACAAAAAACAGCTTTATGATAAACAGTTCATCAGAATGAGCTGAATAAGATCTGTTCTATTCTACTCCAAATTGTAGCTTCTTTTCTATCTTAGCCGAGCACACACAGTCTAGTTTTTTTTTTCCTGGTCTTAAATAAAGTATTATGGTCTAAAACTGACTAGAGTTGCACTGAAAAGAATAAGGCCACTCCACTTTGGATGTTAGGAACTACTCTAAGGTTTAAAGATATGGAAAAGCAAACTTAACAGTGGCTATGCTTTTCCCTCATACTAGTTTCCCGAATTTCACTGTTAAAACTCATTCTTATTAACATGGGACAATATCTTATTGGCAGGAAAAAACAGACCCAGTGAGACTACATCTATGTGACTATGACACCAGCTCTTTTAGATAGAAATGTCTGACTGATAAGCTAACCTGCAGAAAGAGGGTGCAGGGTGATAAACTGAAAAGCACACTGCAGGTCTGAGTTTTAGGCCTGCCTCCCTTACAACTTTACAATAAAATGCTGTGGTTGAGTAGATGACCTCCAAGGCTATAAGAGGCAGTCAGATGGTATGATGGGAAAAGTGCAGGACTGGGAGTCAGAAGATCTGAATTCAAATCCAGCCTCACATATTTACTAGCTGTGTGACCCTGGGCAAATCACTTAATCTCTCTCTGCTTCAATTTCCTTATCTGTAAAATGGGGATAATAAACTCCAGGGTTGTTGTGAGGTTAAAATAAGAGTATTTGCAAAGCACTTTGCAACCTTAAAGTGCTATAAAAGGCTAGCAATTATCATTAACTTCCAGTTCTAAGATCCTGCAATTGGTTCTAAGGTCTTAGCTCCATAGTATCATGCCCAACTGGCAACAGTTCCACTTCACCTCCACCTATTCTGGAATAATGGTGGTGGTAGAAGTTCATCTTGGTTTTTCTCAGACAAGGGTCTGTGAGCTAAGCCTCATCACATACTCTTGATTTTGGCAGCAGTTCTGCTAACACAAGTCTACCCTTTGAGGACTGCCACCTCACAAAAGTACACATACCCTAGTAAAGCCCCACAACAGTGATAGAGCCCCACTCTCTAGGGACCACAAATAACTGAGCGATCTGAACCAATGCCCAGCATGCCGAGTTAATGACCAAAGCTCCTGATTTGGAGCAAGACACATGAAATGCACAAAATGGAAGGGGAGCAGGGGGTAGATCTTGTTCAGCTTCAGGGGAAGCATCACTGATGTCTTATATTCCTCTTTGATGGTCACTGGGCAATCCAGTTTGGGCTCAGTGTCAGTGTACACCTGATTAAGTATTTACTATGTGCCAAGCGCTGTGTTAAGGACCAGAAACAGAAATAAAAAGCAAAGACAGCCACTGTCTTCAAGAAGCTTACATTCTGATGTGAAAAACACAGGGTACAGGGGAATAGTTCAAAAATTAGTATATTATCTTCTAAAGTTTAAATTAAAAAATTTAAATTTAATAAAAATTTAAAATCTCTATTTTATTATATTTTACATATAGATAATCTCTATTTTATTAAAAGCATGGTAAAATTCTAGATTTTATTTCCTTACATATTGACTAGAGGGTATGGGAAAGTTCACTGAAAGCCAAAGAGTAGGGGAACCTCTGGCCTAGAATATCTTTCTCATCCTCTGCCTTTTGATACTAACCATTCTATAAAGCCTAACTCAAATGCCACCTCTGGAAAGCCTTCCCTCATTCCCCTTCCCGTCAGTAATGCCCAATTTCACCTCAGATCTCACTCAGCAATTTGCCAGTACCTTTCTCATCTATTTATCATGCATTAATGTTATGAGTATTTGTCTTATCTACTTACTTAGCACGTAAGCTCTAAAGCTGCAGAGAGCACGTCCGATGTAAACTATGCACCTTCCCCCATAACCAGCAGTTGAGTTATTTCAGTCACACCCAGTTCTTCATAATCCCATTTGGGATTTTCTTGGCAAAGACACTGGAGCCATTTGCCATTTTCTTCTCCACCTCATTTTACAGATAAGGAACTGAGGTAAATGGGATTAAGTGCCCTGCCCTGTGTCACACAGCTAGTGTCTGAGGCCAGATTTGAACTCAGGAAGATGAGTCTCCCTGACTCCGGGCATGGCATCTATCCACTGTGTCACCTACCTACTTCTTTTGCACAGAAAGTACTTAATATATTTGTTGAACTGAAATTCATTCTGCTTTCCCAAAATAATCACTGCTCTGCCTTGCTCTATACTCTTACCACTCTTAAAAATGAAAAATTAGGTTTCCATCAGTAGTTTTTCTAAAACATGGCTTCCATGGACACAAAAATATCACTGGCATGACTGTTTTTTTGTGAATTTTTCTTTTTTTTAAGGTTTTTGATAACAACTTCAATGTCATTGGTTTCCTTTGTAATCCTATGTACTTTGATGCATTTGAAAACATTCTTTTTTTTTTTTAAAGGCAATTGGGGTTAAGTGACTTTCCCAGGGTCACACAGCTAGTAAGTGTCAAGTGTTTTGGTCTGAGGCCAGATTTGAACTCAGGTACTCCTGACTTCAGGGCCAGTGCTAGCTGCCCCTCATGACTGTTTTTTTGATTGAAGCTGAGAATTATTACTAATGATTTTATACAAAAGGCTCTGAAAAAAGTGCTTTAATAAAAATTTTGTATAAATGGTTTAGCTTTTGAGGTGTTCACTATTAATTTGCATCTCAGAAAAATATTAGGCTATTCACAACTAGATTTTTACTAGAAACCTTTGACAATCTGTGCCTCTGATTCTTTTCCTTTTTTTAAAACTCTCTTCAGTCTTGCTTCTGACCTCATAGTTCAAGTGAATATGACTTCATCTTTCAACTGGAACAGCTCTCTCCAAAGTTACCAGATCTCTCAATCACCACTTCTCATCCTTCTTGACCTTCCTGCAGACTTTGACACTTACGATCATTTTCTTCTCTCCAATACCCTCTTTTCTTAGGTAATTGTGACATTGCTCTCTCCTGGTTCTCTTCCTATCTGTCTAACCACTCCTCGGTCTTCTTTGCTGAATCTTCATCCAAAACACACCTGCTAACCAAAGTTCTGTCCTGTGCCTTCTTCTGTCTTCCTCAATACTATTTTACTTGGTTATCTCATCAGCTCCCATTGAATCATCACTTCCATGCTGATAAATCTCAGATCTATTTAGTCAGGCCTAACTAGGGCTGCTACATGGCACATAAGATAGAGTACCAGGTCTTGAGTCAGGAAGACTCCTTTTCCTGAGTTCAAATTTGGCTTCCGAGGCTTACTAGCTCTGTGTCCTTGGGCAAATCATTCACCCTGTCTGCCTCAGTTTCCTCATCTGCAAAATGAGCTGGAGAAGGAATGGCAAACCACTCCAGTATCTTTGCCAAGAAAACCCTATATGGGGTCATGAGGAGCCACACACAACTGAAATGACAGAACAAAAAGCACCTACAACATGCCAGGCATCTTGCTAAACGTGGAAAAAAGAGAATGAAAAAGATAGTCCCTGCCCTCGAAGACCTCCCAATCTAATGACGTCACTAAGCCACCTGATCTTTGGGGTCCCTCCCACCTCAAAATCATTGGACTAATGAATTAAACTTCCAAACTTCTCCTCCTCCTTGGCCTACCCCATTCATTCAGGTGATGCTAGGGCACAGTCCTCGGTGGGGTACACGTGCAGATAAGACACCCGCCTTGTGCTCGCCCGGCCTCCAGCATGTGAACGCACCAACACGGTCATCACCTCGTATAGGTGAGTCGCAACAGCTGGCTGTTGCCAGGCCCTGCTTCTCAGGTCCTTCTCTGATCTCGGAAGCCGGGGCCATGACACGGCTCCCGCCCCCAGGAGGCCCGGTCTGTGCCCCTCCCCGCCCACTCTTTGGGGAGCCAGGTGTGGGGTTCCTCGCCTAGTCACCGCGAGGCCCAGGCCCCTCACCGTTTCCTGCTTACGTGCTGGGAAACAGGAACACAAACCCACAACGACCTCCACCCCCTCCCCAGGCCGGGCGAGGGTGTGTGACGGGTGTGCGACGTGCCGGGCCGCGCGGTACCTCATGGCAGTCTCCGCCCCGGCCCTTGTGGTCTCCTCGCGCCTGCGCACTTCGCGGGGCTCCCCCTGCCAGACTTCCCCGCCCCTAAGCTCCAGCCAATCAACTCCCAGGACTTCCCCCTGGTTTCTTCCCTCCCCACCCCCCAACCCCACCCCGGGCTCCACGTGGTGATGTTTGTGTACGTGCAGCCCTGGACTAGAGCCCCGAGGTCTTTAGTGGGGCAGTGGGCGGGCAATGAGAGGAGGGGGCGGGAGGAGAGCAAGAGGATGGAAGGGGCGGGGAAGAGGATGGAAGAGGAAAAGGGAGAGGAGAAAAAGGAGGAGGAGAGGGAAAAGAGAAGTAACCGGAGAAGAAAAGGGCAGGAGAAAGAAGGGGGGAAAAGAGCAACTGGAGAAGTCAGAGGAGGGAGAAAGGAATAACTGGAGGAAAAAAGGAGTAACCGGAGGAGGTAGAGAAGAGAGACAGATACGGGGAGGGTCGCGAGGACGGGGCGATCTTGGGGCTGCGCTGACCTCGGAGCTCCGGGCAGGGCCACGGCTACTTTTTGCCCGCATTAGCGCACGGGGTGATGCTGCTGCTGGACAGTGGGGCCGAGGTGCGTCTGTCCATCTGGGGCTGGGGGAGGAGGGCGCCCAGTAGAGGGGTTCCTTACCTGGCTGGCCCCTTTGACCTCTCCAATGCCTCCCTCCTCAGGTGGACAGCCTGAAGCGTTTGCTGGAGCCGGGCGGCGCGGTGAATGCCCCACGAGACGCCTGCGGTCAGTCTCCAGTGCACTTGGCTGCCCAGGCCGGACATCCCTTCTTTCTTCTCTGGCAGCTGCAGGCGGGAGCTGACCTCAATCAACAGGTAACTGGAGGAGGGTTGGGCTGCACAAACACCACAATGCCAGGTGCAGAAACCAGGACTTTTTCAATGTGTCCTTTTGCATTGGTATATTGCAAAGAATATTAGACTCATCTGGGAGATTTCGATTCTTGTGGTTGGCTCCGATCGTGCCATGTCACTTCACCTCTCTGGGTTTCCATTTCCTCACTTGATCAATTAGAAGAGAGGGCAGGTTGTAACAGATAGCATGTGGGCAGTAAGAATCATAAAGATCTACCTTCGTATTCTGTGTCTGACACTTTGACCTAGCTGTTCAGTAACCTAGAGAAGTTGGTGGTGGGTGTGTCCATGCTAGGACGAGAAAAGTGGGTTGAAGAAGTTGAATTAAATGATCAGGTCCCCTCCAACTCTAAAATGCTCCAAATGTAAAAGATTCACCCTCATCTTGATCGGAGAACTAAAGGTGAAAGAGATATGGGAGGCCACTGAAATCCAGCTTGAGGAAAACTGAGACCCTGGCGGTGGGGATCTGAAGGTGGGTCCTTAGACAACCGAAGCCAGTGGCTTTTCGCCGTGCTGTTCTCACTTTGTGAGGCCGAGGCCCTGGTACCATTACTACCATTATTACTTTTTTCTGAAGTTATGGAGAGATTTTCCAAAGACTGTTTCAGCTGTTTACCTGCAATTCATTTTCACCGAAGATAATGAAATTAAGTTACCTTTCTATCTTTTAAAGTTGTAATTGCCCTGTAGGGATAAGTTCTAGCTTGTATCTGATTTGCTTATCTCTAACAAGAAGAATGTAGAATGAAATTTTTCTACTCTTTACATTAATCATATTAGCAGTATGTATGGAGATATCCATATCTACCCAAAAGGTGTCTATGGGATAAAGTCCTTCTGTACATATTTGGCAAAAGGCCAGTTGTGTCCAAATGCAAAAATCAGTGTTGTCAGAATCAGAGAGGCAAATCTGTACATGGGCCATATGTTGACTTAGTTTTAAAATATAATATTAACTATGTTTTATTGTAATTTTAAATTTATTTTGTTAAATATTTCACAGTTACATTTCAATCAGGTTCAGGCTGCACTCAGGAATGTTTTGACACCTCTGCTATAAATCATGAAACTGGGAAAAAATTATAAATTACTGTGGCAAGCAACCAGAACAGTGTGGTTCTCATATCTCAAATCATTTAGACTTATCTCTTTGCCTTCCAGTGAGAAAGCTGCTGGGAGGAGAGGCTCTTGTGTAGAGAATCTAAATTTCTTTTCCTGTTTTTAATCAGGATGCTTTTGGAGAAGCTCCAATACACAAGGCAGCTAAAGCTGGGAGCTTGGAATGCCTCAGTCTGCTTGTAGCCGGTGATGCCCTAATTGGGTAAGTAATGAAACCATCTAAAATGTTGTTTGGGTACGTCACAGTTTCCAGAGTGCTTTTATATAAATTATTTCATGTGATTACTTTAACTCAGTAAAGTAGAAAATCGAATAACTGCTTCAGTTTTGCCCTTTCCTTGGAAACACTAGGAATGGGAAGATAGAGTCAAGGGTATAGAGTTCATTAGCATCTAATGCTTTATTACTGTGCTGCACAGACATGTTAGACTTAATTTACATGTTAACTTGATATAGTTCCATCTACTCATATTTCTATCACTCTGACATTCTGAATCAGAATGTCATTTTATGTCGATAAAATGTTCTTCAGTTTTGGCAGAAGAAAACCCATTTCATTTTAATTATGTTTGAAATCTCACTGCAGAACTTGCTTATTTTAGGAAACAGAGAGAACCTTGTGTAGAAGTTATTTTCTCTTTAAAATGTTGGCCTCTGGAGTTGAACACCTCTTCCTGCCCTGTCTTCACCCCACAACAACTTTTTCCTGGCAGAGTCAAATTAGTTTGATAACAATGGCCTTTTTGGTGATCATCATAATAAATGTTAAGTAATAACAAGAAAATCAGAAAAAAAATACAAAGAAGAGAGATCAGAAGAAGACACAACAGACAAAAAATTCTTTATTTTCTTAAATTTTAATATACATTTAAGAACATAAATGATTTTGAGTTTGTTTTATGTACAATCATTTCTTTTTGGGTGGTGGAGGGAGTACAGTACATTGACAAAATCAGATGCCTTTTGAAATGTTGTTTAGTTGAATGTTTTTGTTGATGGGCTTACTAAGCATAGAATAAAAAAGGTCTTTTTTGAAAGTTTAAATTTTAGAAATAGAAATTCATTTTTATTTAACGTTCTCCGATTTTGTGATTAAATTGCAGCTTACGTAACAAGAATGGGCAGACTGCAGAAGATTTGGCATGGTCTTGTGGATTTCTGGAATGTGCCAAATTTCTCACAACAGTTAAACATACACAGAGTATGAAATTAAGTGAACAATCCAAATGTTCGTTCAACACTGACAACTGTGGTTTACTGCTTAAAAATAAAAGAGCTTACAGAAATGTGGACAACTCAAATGGGAAGAAGCAACGATCAGATGGTAGGTCGTATGGTGATGCCACCCCCCTAGTGAAGATTTCTGTATAAATATTAGAATTAAGCTTGTTATAATAGTAAAATCTTACTCATATTTAATAATTCAGCAAGGCTCAATCTGTCTTCAGTTTAGAATACTTTTCAAACTTCAAGCATTCTCATGATGATAACCTCATTTTTACTTTCAAGTTGGCAACTGTGATGCATAAGTTTGTATATCTGCTAAAGGAGGAAAGTATTTGCAAAACTGTTCCTGAAGTGGTTAAGTTTGTGGTTAAATAAGATGTTTTTCAGCCCCACCCTCTCAGCAGTGCTGGGCCTGATGTCCCTGCCAAGACTCACCCAGGCATGTGCTCTTCATGAGGAATGAAAAGTTCAACAAACTCCCTGAAAGGGAGATTAGAGATCGCAGGTGTTGTCCCTCTCCCTCTCCTTTTTTTTTTTTAAAGCCTTCAGATTCTTCTAACATTGCTGGCTCTCGCTGGCTCTCCTCTCCCCTGCATTTTATGGGTTATTTCATGGTTACTGTGTTAGGAAAAGTGTGTAATACCAGAATTAATTTTTTAAAATAAAGAACTGTATGCAGAAAAGTGTATTTTCAGCAATCTCTAACAAAAGATTACAGTTTTTGTATTCAAGGGAATCTCACCTTATTTCCCATAGGCTCAATGTATCAACATTCTTGTTTTTGACTATCATGCCATTTTCTAGGATCGTTGAGGATTGACTGTATTTAGATTCTGATTGTAACTAGTGGCTGTTAAGGGTAATAGGTACCTAAGTTTAATTAGTCTTAGAGTATTTTTCTTAATTACAAATTAGTAATGATTTGCAGAGGAAACAAAATCAAAAAGTATTTGTAAATAGTTATCCAGACATATTTAGAATTGTGTAGTGGTTTGTTATATATCACACAAACTAATTATGTACTTGTAGCATTCAATATTGTCCTCACTGTAAAGGTGCCAGTGGAACATGTCACAAAGGAAATAGCTTTTGCTGCTTCTTTTTTTTTAAATAGGTCATTTGTGTTAGAGTTGGAAGCTGACTGAAAAGAAGTTTGGAGCAGACCTTCAGACTGATGATCTTTTTCTGGGTCACAAGCTACCAGAGTGATCTATAAAATGTTCTCATCTTCTTCTAAGAAGGAGCAAGAGATATTAAAACTTTCTTCTGAGTGAAGATCATTTTTAAGAATACATGTATTCACATAGTTTTGGTATGCTGCATTTGGTTGTATGTGTTCCTACTTTATATCTTTAACTTAAACTAAATACAGGTATTGGGGGGGTGTTTTTTTTAAACCCTTTCTAAATACTCCAACGATAATGAAGAAAAATCAGTTTTAATCATTCTTCAATTATTGTAGCATTGACACACTATTGTTAACCAGAGTAACTTGCACATAATTTGTGAGACTGATGTTCTAACTAAATGGCTACATTTGAAATAGCTACTATATACATGTCTTCCCTATGTTTTTATATGAAGTTTGTGCTTTATTTTTATGTAACTGTCACGCACCCTACACTGTTATAAATATTGGTACTACTCAGATTCTTCAAATAGTCTTTGGTCTCTGAGGAAGGCAGAGATTATAGTAGGCATCCTTTTTCCAAAAATCTGGACCTTTCCATCCACACAAACCCTAGACAAAAGGATGAAAAAACAAACCTGGTCACACTGTATAGCGCCAGTACTTCCCCCTACCCTCCCAAGTCCAGGAAACATCCAAATGTTCATGGATTACCATCATCAACAAACATTATGAACTTCTACTCAGGGTAATGGTTACCTAAATTTCATTAAGAGTATTTTTCTTAATTAAAAAATAATTTCCAGAGGAAACAAAATGTATTAATAACTAATTATCCAAACATATTTAGAATTTTATACTGGTTTGTTATATATTGAGCTAATATGTACTTGCAGATAGTATTCAGTATTTGCCTCACCCTCATTTACTGGTACCATGACTAAATTGACCTATTCCTTCCATCAGCAAAACTAAGACTAGTATTTGCAGCAAAGGGTATTCCTCACACACGTGATTCTATGCAAATGCTTTTCTTGTATGTCTGCGGCCTGATTTTAAAAAAAGAGGCCCTTAGTAGTTAATATTCATTATTTCTTATTTAAATTGTTTTATTCAGGAAAAAAACAACTCTCAGTCTAATTGGATAGTATGTATGTTCTGGTCCTTTACTTGTAACAGTGGTCATCCCACGGAGCATGTATGGGAGAGGCCTGCACCCAGAACCTTCTTTACTTGCTACTAGGCAGATGTTAAGTGTAAAAGTGAGTAATGATCTTATTCCTTACTCTAATAGACATAAGTTGACAGTATTTTGCAGAAATTAAAATCTAAATCCTCTTTTCTACACAAGACAAGATAGATTTTAAATATTTACCTTTAACCTTAAAACAAAATTTAGTCATCTTTTCTCCAACATAACCATCTTTATGTTTTCCAAACAGTTTAAAAGGCTTATGTTGTAGGTATGTTCTCATCATCCTACATAGAAATCCTAGTGGCCGATTACAAAAACATGAGTGCCATGATCCCAAGATTCTCTTCTTGGGTTGACCGTCCTGTGCCATGGACTCAGAAAAGTCCACATAAAAAGGAAAAAAAAATGGTCCCATAGATCTAGTGGACCAGAATAATATGTCATTTTGAGGTCATGTTTTGCCACTTAGCTGTGTGACCTTGAACAAATAATTGCTGTGACCCTCAAAGAACTCATCACAGAACAAAATGAGTCAATATGTTCAAAGCACTGATATACTGTAAAGCCACTAGAGAGATGCTAAATGTTATTCACTACCATCTAGAACAGTCCTTTCCTATAGGTCCCACGCAACAGGTGGTGTAGGTTGTTGCATCCTTGGTACTTAAATTTTAGTTGTCCTCTGCATTATTCTTTTCCTCATAAAACCATCCTGGAAGGTCTTTCCCTTATAAGAAACTCATAGATTAAGTACTCATGGTACCCAGACACTCCATAGCACCTGCCATCATAAATAGGGCCTTCCTTTTAACTAACTCTGGGTAAATCAGGGAACATTCCATTTTCCTATGTTCATTTCTTCCTTCCCCTTTCACTGCTTTGCACTCAGAGATCCCAAAGAATGGATCTGGAAGTAAAGGTTGCAGAGAACACCTTGTTCCCTAATAATCACCATCCTGGGATCCCTGAAAAGAAGGGTGCATCTCTGACACAGCAGTGATGGGACTTGGCCTATACAAAAAAGAAAAGCTAGGAAGCCAATTTTGGAGATACCACATCACCCCATTTTGGGAAACTGCCATACCATTATCCAGTCTGGACACAGCACTCTCATACTGCCATCTCCAGCCAGCACTAAAGAATTTCCTCGACTAAATATCTTTTGGACACAAGACTCATGCCTGCTTCCTTCTTTTCTCCTTAGTGCAGGCACAAGGTTACTACACAATCACTTCTTTGGAGAGGCTCTTGCCACCAAATTAAGGAACTGAAATGAGTAAGAGAGACTGGGGGGAGGGAACATTGAGATCTAAGCTTCCAGCTCTCAATTCTGTAATAATCTGCATGATACTAATTTTTAATTCTTTAGCGGCTGTTGGGTTCCATATTTGTGGCCATAGAGCAACACTACCTGACTGCTGGTATCAAAGAGAGGCCTTTGCTTTCAAGGGAAATGAAGTCTTGAGCTTGGCAGTTTGCCAAAGCCAACCCAGCCTGCATTTCCTCTTCCTGTTCAATTCTGGGCCTGATTCACCGTCTGTATTGTTTGTGTCAGGTATAAATACAGATGGACAAGCTCTAAAGTTTATACATCCTATAAATGAATTCTGTGATTTGGGCATAACCTAAAATATTCCTGAAAAATTCCAGCTAGTCCAATCTTCCAAATTTTTAAAGGATAGGATTTGGTGCCTTCTATTCATATCTGTTACTGTGTCAAACAATCCAAGAAATTGTTCATAAATGTAGTCTAAATTTCTGTTTTTTAAACTAAATTTTATTCCTTTGATATAAAAAACTCTCACATTTGAAGTTGGTCACCCCCAGCAGTAACATCATCAACTTTTAAAGCCCAATTTTTCTTAAATAACTTGTTTTCTCTTCTTGGCTCTAGGTTCTTTGTAAGACTAAATTAATTCTAAATAGACACCTAATTTCCATTTTATTTTGAAAGATGTTTCAAGTTTTTTTCTCCATTACTATCATTTCCTAATACCTAACTCCCCACCCCCAAACAGAATCTTCCCTCGAAACAAAGTAGGACAATTGTATTAACCATATTTGCCAGCACATGCTTCATTGTGCCTTTTAGTATGGAGGACGCTGTTTCACAAGTCCTAGCCATCTGACCTCTGTTGCTTTAGAATTACCTTCATTTACAATACCTACCTTTTCTAAAATGACTTTCAGGTCCTCTGGTCCTGTGTAATGAGGATCTAGAATCAGGAATTTTACCTGCCCCGACATCTCATTCCATGCCACTCCTAGTATTGTATGAGCCAAGATCCCTCCACCTACAGAAAAGGAAACATACAAGTTTATATAAACCGAAAAATAAGTCTTTAACTTTAGACTCAAACTAAAGAGTTGCTTTGTTTTCTAAGTTATCCAAAGCAGCTTAAAGCACACAACCTACACTTTCAGACTACAGGAACATAGAGAGGCATACTTAGAAATGATATATTTATTTTTTAAAATTCAGAGCTAATGATGCTCTTCTATGTCTATCTTTAATTATTTTTGTTAACACAATTAAAGAATTCAGATGTGAAGTGGTCTCAAGTCATCTTGCCCAAACCACAACTCGCTCAGAAATCTTCCACAATATTTCTGACAAATGGTCAAGACCTGCTTAAATGTCTGTCTGCTGCAATGCAACCTGTCCCACATTGAATGGCTCAGATAGCTAGGCAGTCCTAGTACTTTCTTAGGTTTGAGGTGTGTGTACACACACACACACACACACACACACACACACACACACACACACACACAGAGTGAGTATAAGGTATCTCTGATAACATTCATCTCTTGTTTATAGTTTTGCCTTCTGAAATATCACAGAACAGGTCTACTGCTATGTTACATCTTAAATATTTAAAGACAGCTCTCATCCTTCCCCTTTAGTCTTCTCTGTGAAATTATCATTTTAATTGCAATCATTCTTCACACTGACATTTCTTTCCATCTAGGAAACAGATTTATGCCCTTACCTTTTCTCTCTGCTCTGTACAGCAATTATAGGAAACAGGCTATTTTACTAGCTGAAACAGTAAAAGAATGAATGGATGTAGAGAATTATCTTGCTTTATACTCTGAATGTTGGGTAAGAAAGTCTGGGGAATTTATTGGCCTGTGAGGATCCTATGGTTGAATCAAATAACCACACATCCTCTTCACTACCAAAATACTATCATTATCAACCTACCCTTTCCCAGATGTTGCACCTTCAACCACCCACCTATCTATTCTCTCTAACCTAGTAATATAGGAGCCCATTCAACACATCTACACTCCCCTCTCCCAACTCTCATTCTCTAATATATATTATCTTTCCCTATTAGAATATAAATTCCTTGAGGGTAGGGTCCTTGGTTGCTTATATTTGTATGCCCAAAGTTTAGCCCAGTGCTTGGCAGATGGTAAGCACTTAATAGACATTTATTCATTCATTCATATATGTGTGTATGTATATATGTATGTATGAAGCATATATATCTATGCATACATATATTTATGTGTGTGTGTACTTGCATGACTGAATATATTTTTACATGATAGGAGGAAACTATATTTCCATTTAGGTATCTAACAATATGTACATCTCTATGTTAATTTCCATTTTATACATGAAGACTCTAAGGTTTAGAGTGTTATGTGATTTGCTCAGTCTAACATCTAGTAAATGTTAGGGGGGATTTAGAACAGGGCTCTCTGAGTCCAAGTTCAACATTTCATATACTAAGGCAGATGCTGCTCAATATAGGTTAATAAAGTTGTGTTTGCATTTCTGTATTGGGAATGGAGGGATACACTAGAGGGCACTGGTGGGTTTATATATGTCAGAATGTATTACAGATTAGGTTTTATCTGGAGAGAGGCTGAGTACAGTACAACTTTGTCATTATGTCTCTGAGAAAGGATCACTTTACTCAGTGTTCTGGAAGTCACTCTTATCACCAAGAATTTATAGAAACATGGCTCCGAAAGGCTGTAAAATACAAACACACACACACACACACACACACACACGCACACGTGCGCGCGCGCATGCGTATGTCTCAGGCTTGCATCACCTCATCTCAAAATTATTGTGACAGCTTTCTGACTGATCTCCCTGCTACAGGTCTCTTGCTACGCCATTCCCCAGATGATTTTCCTCAAACAGATCTAGCTGCATCAATCCCCTGTTCAATCAACTCCAATAGAATGACCTCTAGGATAAACACTTACTATGCATCAGGCACTGTGCTAAGTGCTGGAGATACAAAAAGAGGCAAAAGACAGCCCCTGCCTTCAAGAAGCTTACGGTCTAACCGGGGAAACAATATGCAAACAAACATACACAAAGCACGCTTTATTATACACAGGACAAATGGGAAATAATTGTCAGAGGGATGACATTGGCATTAAGAGGGATTGTGGAAGGCTTCCTGTAGAAGGCAGTAATTTAGTGGGGACTTAAAGGAAGCCAGGGAGGTCAGCAGTTGGAGAAGAAGAGAAAGAGCATTCCATGCATGGAAGGTAGCCCGAGAAAATGCCTGGAGCCAATTACATGCTTTCATGTACCCCATGTTTCAGGGATGCTGGAGCCTAGCTATTCCACTAAACACAACAAACACCTTCTGCTTCTAGGCGTTTGTACAAGCAGACTCTCATGTCTGGAATTTCTCATATCCAAGAGTCAGAATTCTGATTTGTCTTCAGGACTCATCCTAGGTGCCACCACGTCCAAGATGATTTCCCCACGTTCTCTCCTTCCTCAAATCAGCCTATTATAGTTATCTATATACATAACTCCAGTAGAACGCAAGCTCCATGAGTACAGGAATTGTTTTGTTTCTGTCTTTGTATCCCCAGCATCTAGCATGATGTCTTAGGCATTTAATACAGAGAAAAAGAGAGAGAGAGAGAGAGAGAGAGAGAGAAGAGAGAGAGAGAGAGAGAGAGAGTGAGAGAGAGAGAGAGAGAGAGAGAGTGAGAGTGTGTGTGTGTGTGTGTTGGCATAATATGTCTCAGGCTTGCATCACCTCATGCCTAATTACTGCGACAGCTTCTTTGACTGATCTTCCGGCTACAGGCCTCTTGCTATGCCATTCCCTGAGTGATTTTTCTCAAACACACACCTGCCTGCATCAATCCCCTATACAATCAACTCCAGTAGGAATGACCTCTAGGATATTATATCATTTCCTCTGGTTAGCTTTTAAAGCTCTTCACAACCCAATAGCCCCACAACAATAGCCACAGTCTGTCTTTCCAGCCTCACTGAATATTCCTCCCTTTTCTGCTCTCTGGCTGCAAACTGTCCTCCGCTCTGGTCCTTACACCCAACACTCATCCCCTATCTTCATGCCTTGGCACTGACCATCCCCGATGTTTGGAATACACTCCATCCTCCTCACATCATCTCTTTCTTCTTCAAAATGTGGTCCAAGTACCACCTTTTACAGGAAGTCTTTTCTGATCCTCCTACCACTTGGCCCTCCCTCCCAAACTACACTGTATTTAACTACTTTGTATTTATTCTGTATGTCCTTATATACATATAAGTATGCTGTCTTTCCCATTAGAACATAAATTCCTGTATTTGTATCTCTATCATCTAGCACAGTGCCTGGCCTGTGTGAGCACTTAATAAAAGCTTGTTGATCAACTGAAATAGTTTGTCTATAGCCTTCCTAAGATATGATGCTGAAAACTAAAGACAGTACTCTAGACAGGCTCTGGCCAGGGCAGAGGAGAGCAGAACCATTGCTTTCCTTGTTCTGGGAATTATAACTTGCCCAAGAGAACATCAGCTATTCTGACCATCAGGTCACACAAATGACTTGAACTTACTGAAGCACTTTACTACCAGAGAGTGGGACATTATCTCCTTAAAGCCATCTCAATCACTGTAATCTAATTTGTGGATAGCGATACATACAAGTTTATTAACTGCCACAGATATTGTTTTAAACATTCAGAAACTCTAGTGAGAATTTTCATATTACTACCATAAGAACGTGTTACTCTCAAAAAAGTTTTACAGAGAATAATCACGTACCTTTATTTTAAATATCTTATAATTAAATATGCTTAATATTGACATCTTTCTTATACCCCAAACACCCCACACTCCCCAAACACCTTACCGATCATTACTGGAGTTCCTTCACTCTGGAAATGATTGGCAAGTTCCCTTCCTTGAGAAGGTAAATCAGAACCTTGGCTGGGAAACAGAGTTTTGCATGAGATTGCTAAGCTTCAATTCCACATTTGGATAATAAGCATTAAAGAACAATGTTTTAACAATTTATTTGTGAATAAAATAAAGCTGGCAAATCTAAAAGTTATTTGGAAGAAGCTTTGGTTAGCATCTAAGAAAAACATCATCTGCAGTAATACTTTTTAATTCTAGATGAGAACAACAACAAAAGTCTATGGCATCACAGACAGGTTCAGAGTGGTTAAGTGATGTGCCAGAGGTCAGAGGTCATAAAAAGACAGGGCCTGGAATCAAACCAGGTCCTCTGACTATACTGGCAGTGAAGATGGTATTTTGTCCTGTTTTCCATTGCACCACACTGCCTTTCATCAAATAAAGAACAAGGGAGAAATTCTGGAACAGTATAAACACACATATAACGATACTCCACCCACCTAATACACAATGTTCTAGTGAAAGAGTGGTATTTGGGAGAGGAAACAGGCTGGTGCTGGGTAGTCAAAGACCAATTTTTGTAGCGGTATCAGAAAGGAATTTTCTATTTCTCTAGCCATAGAGTTGAATCTTTTTTTTTTTCCAGAGTTGAATCTTGAAATAGCCATGATGGATTATGAGAATTCCAGCTCAACTAGATAGTGGGTAGAGATGGAGTTTATCTGCCTAGCAAAGAAGTATTTAAAACATTTATACAATTAAAACTCCCTGAGGGCATGTGTTGACAAAATGACAAGAAACTCTGGATTCTCTGCTTCAAGTATCATATGCAACAGACCAAGATTTTATGAATGAGTTTAAAGACCCTCATTTCTGGGCCCTTGGGGCTCATATTCCTGCTTTTCAGGACCCCATTTTGAACGACAGATGGATTTCTTTTTCTTTTGGTAATACAAGATGTGTTAATTTGGAGGGGAGATGTCAAGAGAGATTATTTTACTTTGGTGCTTAAGATTCATGAGGACTTCACCTTTTTTTTTTTTAACTTTAGTTATAAGTCATCTTAATGTGACACTCATCTTAATGTGCTTAACAAGTTCTGCGAAAACATCATGTTGGGGCAGCTAAGTGGATAGAACAATGACCCTGAAGTCAGGAGGACCTGAGTTCAAATCTGGCCTCTGACCAAACACTTGACAAACACTAGCTGTGTGACCCTGGGCAAGTCACTTAACCCCAATTGCCAAAAAACCCAAACCAAACCAAAACAAAAACCCAAAACATCATGTTTACAAGGAGGGGTAAATTCCACAGAAATGATATGATAATGGTTAATCAGCTGAACACGTTATAGTAGAGTCTGACAATAATGTAGTAATGACATTACAGACTGTAAAATGAAGGGGTTAAAGAAGATGACCTTAGCCTTTCAACTCTAAATGTATGATCCTATGACATTACAAAATGACACAGGTCAGGGCAATGTGACAAAAAGCTTTCTTGTATTTTAATATAGTGGCATTTCAAAGTATTTTCACACTTGAATCATTAGGAATGCTATTACTTATTTATTTGTCTGAGTCATCCTAGCCAATATAAGTAACAAACACATTAAGATCAGAATATGAGGATTTATACAATACTGAAATCAAGATATTTAATATCACCACCAGAAGCTGTCACCATAGTTACAAAGAATCTGATGGAACAATGTGCAGTAATATTATGAAGTTCATAAATATACATTAAAATCAGTGGGCACTATACCAAATTTGGTATACAGTGGGCTGTATACCAAATAATACAAGAATATTTTAATTTTTATTATCAATATATTTTAGACACATTATAAATGTATTTATGATATTTTAACAAAATGAACAGCATGTAAATACATACTGACATAATAGATCAGTCATAGATAAGTGATAAATATTTTCCCTTTTGAGATTTTTTTAGTGAATCCAGCCCTAAAAAGATGCCAAATTCTCTATCGCTATACTCTAGATTAACATTTTTCTAATTTCTCCTATACCTAGGCCAAAAAGATACACATTTTTTTACTGAAATCACTCATATGCACAAAATCCCATAAAACCTAATCAAAAGGAAATAGGAAGAATAAATAAAAGAGAAAAAAATTCAGAAAACAACAAAAAAAGGGGCCAGGAAAAGGAAAGAATGCAAAATTTTAATCTTACTATAGATTAAAGATAAATTATAGCTCATAAATGATCCTTTAGAAAAAATAACACTATTATCAAATAATCATTGCAGTGTCCTTACCTCACAAACAGAATTTTTGAAGTTATCCCCATCAAATGGTTCAGAACTAGCTGTACCTCAATAGAACCAATCCATTCTCGTGACCCTACAAATGTTGCTGGTTTGTCTCCCACATCAACAAGAGCCTTTATTGCACCCCATCAGATGGAAAAAATAAACATATATTAAAAATAATAATAGCTAGCATTTATATAGCACTTTAAGGTTTACAAAGCATTTTAGAAATATTAACCCATTTTATCTTCAAAGCAACCTTGGGGGGTTAAGTACTATTCTCACCCCTATCTTACAGATGAGGAAACTGAGGCAGAGGTTTATGTGACTTGTATGGGGTTGCACAGATAGAAAATGTCTAAGACTAGATTTGAACTCAGGTTTTCCTGACTTCTGATGTAGCGCTCTATCCACTGCACAACTCAGCTGCCTCTAGATTTAAAATTTAGGACACTTGCTTCCTTTTCTACTTCTTTTAATTTCTATTCTTTGATCTGAAAAAAGTATCAAGGTTTAGATTTCTCCAAAAGAGAAGTGAGTGTCTACCACTAGGAGGAAGTATGAATTAACACCAGGGTCTTCAGTGTGCCTGAAATGTACAACTTGAAACCATGGGCTCTGTACCTGCTGAATCTCCTGGTGGGTTGGAATGGACCTGTCGGTGTACCCCTGATGTCTGAACCAAGAGCAAACAGTTTGGAGAGACCGATAAGCACAGCCCCAGCCGCTGTCATCTATCTGATCCTGCATGTAATGATGATAAGCATATACGCCCTGGACTATGGAAATCTGTGCAGAAAAAAAAGAAAACAGGGCAAAATACCATGTCCAGTGCCATCACGTTAAGTACCATTGTCAAACTAAAAGTCATGATGCCCAAGATGAACACAGAGCATTTCTAGACAGGAATGAATAATAAGATAGAGGCAACATGGTCCGGTCCAATCCTGCCCCTCCTCCCACCACCCCCTCACCCATTTTATAGATAAGGTGACTCAAGCCCAGAGTTGAAATCACTTGCCCAGATGATGACTGCATGATGACTGCACATGTATAATCTATATCAAATTGCTTGCGTTCTCAGGGAGTGGGGAGAAGGAGGAAACGCAAAAATTTTTTAAAATGTATGTTAAAAATTTTGTTTACATGTAAGTGAGAAAAAAAATAAAATAAAAATTAAATGTAAAAAAGAAAGAAAGAAAGAAAGAAAGAAAGAAAGAAAGAAAGAAAGAAAGAAAGAAGCCACATACCTGAGGTCATACAAGTAATAGTAGCACAGTTACAGTCAATACCAGGCCTTCTAACAATAAATTAAGTATTCCTTACACCAAACCACTGTCTTCCAGCCCTTCTGCATTAGGCAGGTTTCTCATGTGTAAAAATGAGGTCAGTCTAGCTCAAACTTAAAGCAGCCTTCCGTGTCTAAATTTACAATCTGTTGAGCAAATGATCTCTAAGCTCTTTTTTCAGTTTGGACATTTTGTGTTTGACATGCTACTCACAAATGAATTATTCTCAAAGATACCACTGGTTATCACTACTGGCAATTATAATTATTTTTATTTCACTTTTAAAAAATCATGCTTATTTATGTACTTTTTTGACATTCAGTTTTTGATTTTGAGTTCCAAAATCTTTTTTCCACACACTGAGAAGGTAAGCAATGATACCCATTATACTTGTGAAGTCATGTAAAACATATTTCCATATTAGCCATTAAAACTATTTTTAAATTACGTTTTATAAAAAATTTAACATTGAACATCATTATAGCCAACTAAATGTGCTTAGTAACTATATACATTCAATTAATATTAATAATAAACAATTCATTTCACTGTAATATCATGACAATTTTTGTCACTCTCCCCGCCACTTCCCCCTGCCCCCAATTCCTTAACAAGATTCTTTGTTCTTTCACTGTTATTCATTTCTCCTCTTATATGATCCCAGTTAGTGTGGACATCATTCTAATGGGTCTGCTTTTTAACTTTGCATTACATTGTATTTCAAAAAGATCTTCCCACATTTTCTCTTATTTCCTCTTTTAAAAATTTTTCCCCACTTGATAATATATATTTTTTCCAATTAAATGTAAGATAGCATTAAAATTCATTTTTATAAGACTCTGAGTTCCAAATCTTTCCCCCTCTGTCACATCTCTCCTTCCTCCGCAAGACAGCAAGCAATCTGATATAGGCTATACATGTACAATCATATTAAATATATTTCCACATTAGTCATGTTGTGAAAGCATCAGAACAAGAGGGAAAAAAAAACATAAGGAAGAAAAAACAAAAACAAAATAATCTATATTCAGACTCCATAGTGTTTTCTCTGGATGTGGATAGCATTTTCCATCACGAGTCTTTTGAAAATGTCTTGCATCATTGCATTGCTGCGAAGAGCTGTCTATCAGTCATTGCACAATGGTGCTGTTACTGTGTATACAATGTTCTCCTGGTTCTGTTCACCTCATTCAGTATTAGTTCATGTAAGTCTTTCCAGGTTTTTCTGAAATCTGCCTGCTCATCATTTCTTATAGAACAATAGTATTCCATTACATTCATATACCATAGATTATTCAGCCATTCCCCAATCGAAGGGCATCCCCTCAATTTTCAATTCTTTGCTACCACAAAAAGAGCTGCTACAAATATTTTTGTGCGTGCAGGTTCTTTCCCCTTTTTTACAATCTCTTTGGGATACAGACCTAGTAGTGGTATTGCTGGATCAAAGGGTATGGACAGTTTGGTTGACCTGACCTTTGGACATAGTTCCAAATTGCTCTCCAGAATGGTTGGATCAGTTCACAACTCCACCAACAATGTATTAGTGTTCCAATTTTCCCACATCTTCTCCCAATATTTATCATTTTCCTTTTTTGTCATATTAGCCAATCTGATAGATGTGAGTTGGCATCTCAGAATTGTTTTGATTTGCATTTCTCTAATCAATAGTGATTTAAGGCATTTTTCATATAGGTTCATAGATATCTTTAATTTCTTCATCTGAAAACTGCCTGTTCATATCCTTTGACCATCTATCAATTGGTGAATGACTTGTAGTCTTATAAATTTGACTCAGTTTTCTACATATTTTAGAAATGAGGCCTTTATCAGAAACAATGGCTATAAAAGTTGTTTCCCAGCGTTCTGCTTTCTTCTTAATCTTGGCTGTATTGGCTTGGTTTGTGCAAAACCTTTTTAATTTAATGTAATCAAAACCCTCCATTTTGTTTTTCATAATGTTTCCTCTCTCTTGTTTGGTCATAAATTCTTACCTTCATAGAAAGTAAAGTATTCCTTGCTCTCCTAATTTGCTTATGGTATCACCCTTTGTGTATAAATCATGTATCCATTTTGAACTTATCTTGGTATAAGATGTGAGATGTTGGTCCATGCCTAGTTTCTGTCATACTATTTTCCAGTTTTCTCAGCAGTTTTTGTCAAATAATAAGTTCTTATCCCAAAAGCTGGAGTCTTTGGGTTTATCAAACAGCAGATTACTAGTCATTTACTACTGTGTCTTGTGAATCTAATCTATTCCACTGATCCACCATTCTATTTCTTAATCAGCACCAAATAGTTTTCATGATTGCCACTTTATAATATAGTTTTAGATAGGCCACCTTCCTTTGCATTTTTTTTCATTAATTTCCTTGATATTCTTGATCTTTTGTTCTTCCAGATGAATTTTGTGTTGTTTTTTCTAGCTCTTAAAATAATTTTTTGGTAGTTTGATTGGTATGGCACTGAATAACTAATTAACTTAGGCATTTTTATTATATTAGCTTGGCCTACCCATAAGCAATTTTTCCAGTTGTTTAGATCTGACTTTATTTGTGTAAAAAATGTTTTGTAATTGTGTTCATATAATTCCTGGGTTTGTCTCGGCAAGTAGACTCCTGAGTATTTTATATTGTCTACAATTATCTTAAATGGCATTTCTCTTTCTACATCTTGCTGCTGGACTTTGTTGGTAATAAATAGAAATGCTGACAATTTAGGTGGGTTTATTTTATATTCTGCAACTTTGCTAAAGTTGTTAATTGTTTCAAGTAGTTTTTTAGTTGATTCTCTAGACTATCATTATATCATCTGTAAAGAGTGATAGTTTCATTTCCTCACTGCCTATTCTAATTCCTGCAATTTCTTTTTCTTCTCTTACTGCTAAAGCTAACATTTCTAGTACAATACTGAATAATAGTGGTGATAATGGGCATCCTTGTTTCACCTGTGATCTAAGTGTGAAAGCTTCTAGCTTATCTCCATTATATATAATGCTTGCTGATGGTTTTAGGTAGACACCACTTATCATTTTAAGGAAAATTTCATTTATTCCTATGCTCTCTAGTATTTTTAATAGGAATGGGTGCTGTATTTTGTCAAAAGCTTCTGTTGAGATGATGATTTCTGTTGGTTTTGTTATTGATATGATCAATTATGCTGATAGTTTTCCTAATATTGAACCAGCCCTGCATTCCTGGTATAAATCCCATCTGATCATAGTGTATTATCTTCATGATAAATTGGTGTAACCTCTTTGCTAATTTTTCATTTAAAATTTTTGCATTAATATTCATTAGGGAAACTGGTCTATAATTTTTGTTCTCTGTTTTGGCCCTTCCTGGTTTAAGTATCAGCAACATATTTGTGTCATGAAAAGGAATTTGATAGGACTCTAATTATTTTTCCAAATAGTTTATATAGTATTGGAATTAATTATCCTTTAAATGTTTGGTAGAATTCACTTACAAATCCATCTGGCTGTGGAGATTTTTTCTTAAGGAGCTCACTGATGGTTTGTTCAATTTCTTTTTCTTTTCTTTTCTTTCTTTCCTTCTTTTTTTCTTTTTTGTGTGAGGCAATCGGGGTTAAGTGACTTGCCCAGGGTCACAAAGCTAGTAAATGTCAAGTGTCTGAGGCTGGATTTGAACTCAGGTCCTCCTAACTCCAAGGCGGGAGCCCTATCCACTGTGCCACCTAGCTGCCCCTCAATTTCTTTTTCTAAAATGGGGTTAAGTATTCTATTTCTTCTCCTGGTAATCTGGGTAATTCGTATTTTTGTAAATATCCGTCCATTTCACTTAGATTGTCAGATTTATTGATATACAGTTGGGCAAAATAGCTCCCAATTATCGCTTTAATTTCCTCTTCATTCAAGTGTTAAAGTCACCCTTTTCATTTTTCATTCTGGTATTTGATTTTCTTCTTTTTTAAAAAAATCAAATTAACCAAAGATTTATCTATTTTATTGTTTTTTTCCCCATAAAACCAGCTCTTAGTTTTATTTATTAGTTCAATAGTTTTCTTACTTTCAATTTTATTAATCTCTCCTTTGATTTTCAGAATTGCTAATTTGGTATTTAATTGGGGTCTTTCAATTTGTTCTTTTTATAGCTTTTTTAGTTGCATGCCCAATTCGCTGATCTTCCTCTAGAGATATAAAATTCCCCCTAAGAACTGCTTTAGCTGCGTCCCATAAATTTTGGTATGTTGTCTCATTATTACCATTCCCTCTGATGAAATTCCTGATTATTTCTATGTTCTGTTGTTTGACTGACTCATTCTTTATGATTAGATTATTTAGTTTCCAATTAATTTTTAATCTATCTTTCCATGGGCCTTTATTACATGTAATGTTTATTGTACTATAATCTGAAAAGGATGCAATTAATATTTCTTCCTTTCTGCATTTAATTGTGAGGTTTTTATGCCCTAATACATTGTTGGTTTTGGATAAGTGCCACATACTGCTGAGAAAAAGGTATATTCCTTTCTATCCCC